AAATGATTGTAAATAACTTCAGTAAATGTAATCATTTGAGAGAAAAATTCCTTTATTGAAATGACTTGATATTATACATTCTTGAGAAAACAAAGGGAAATGAACAAAACGATTGGTGATATGATTATAAGTTAATTCACATCACGTATAAGAATAATAACAATAATACATTTTATCTTATCTCTGATTACCTCAAAGTGCTTACTGTACACCACTTATGGTAAAAAAAACATTTTTATTTCAATCACATATTGGATAGTTTTATAAGTTGAAGAAGGCGTTAGTAGTAAGGTTATACATTAGAGTGTTATTTCACCTATTTGAAACATTCATTGTAAAGATACTTGACATTTACTTCTAAAGTTTTGTACCGCATATATTTATAAATGAATGAAGTCCTTGGTAAATCTTACTTCATTTCTAACTTCTGATTGTTTACAATAACAACTCCTAACATAATCTTCAAGCATAATAAGTTGAATTGATATCGTTAAACTATTAATTGGTAAAATAGTACCAAGCAATTATGTTAATTAACAACAAAAAGATGTTCTTCAACGTCGCTTAAAAGAAAAATATGTTTTTTTTAAAAGTTTTTCCAGTATAGTTTTAATGAATAATCTTTTTTGATTCATATAATTAAATCTTGAATGATTGTGTGTATGAAATTACTTTCGTGATTTAGTGTTATCATTAATGAATTTCATTTTCGCTACCAGGATATTCAGTACACTTAAAGATAATTACATATAGCAGGTAATGTAAGCATAAAAAGGAATTCTGTTATTGTAAACCAAATGAAATGACATAAGCTTTGATCATAATAACAATAATAATAATAATTAATAATTAATAATAATGATCATTTCAAATCATTTCTTAGCTTAATAAGTTAACTTTGAATGGGTTTTTTCATAATATTACCTTCCATTAAAACCGATACATTAATGTTTATCATTATCAAAATAATAATTTAAATATATTAATGACTGTAATATTTAATAAACTAATAAACCATAATTAAAATGATCATTCACATTCTTTTTGTCCAAGAAAACTTTAAACAATTTCTTTAATGAATATTTATATGAAATTCTGGTTCTTGGTGTTCATATTTCAAACTTGACTGTTTTTCTTTCTTTCTTTCTTCTTTTTCCAATCTTTTGCAACTTTTCTTATATATATATATATATATATATATATATATATATATATATATATATATATAGAGAGAGAGAGAGAGAGAGAGAGAGAGAGAGAGGGAGAGAGGGAGAGATACCACACCATACTTTATACGCTGTACAGTAGTATCTATGTGATCCTTTTATTTTAAAAGTAAGAAAATAACATTGCACCTTTTTGAAAATATTTCATTCATGAATAATTAAAATGAACTACCTGTAAAAATATGAAAATTAGCTACAACTACTGATAATAATATTAGTAATTTATTAGACATCATTTTGAAACTAAATGATGTTTATATGCTTATACACATTGTTTTAATATATATTCTATATGTGTGTTGATTTCTTTTTATTGTTAAAATGAAACATTATCCAATGTTGTTTTTTTTTCTTTGAAAAACAAAATCTAGTTGATCTAATTAGGAATTGAGGACAATATCTATAGTATCTATAGTAAAGATAAAATCTTATTCATTTCAGACACATAATTTTGAATGAAATAAAACAATAGAAAAAAGAACAAGCAATATGATTTACTAGAATTTTTTTTTCTTTTTTTGAAATTAAAAAAATAAATACAAACTTGGCTAAATTGAAGTTTTAGGTGTAAAATAACAATTATATTGAATACCTTTTTTTTGGTTGCTTGTTAATATTTAGTTTGGTATAAGTTTGTAAATTTTATATAGTTTCTTCCTGAACAGTTGAAAAAGAATCTCATTATTAAACGGCACTTTTTACACTCACATACATATACACGCACACGCACACACACACACACGCAGAGAGTTTTTTCTCAGTTATTTTATGTTTCTCTAATCGAAAAACTATTTTCGACAGTCTAAAAATTTTTTTGTGTGTTTTCTTTTTTGCGCAGGTTCATCATCTAATGAATATTCTCTTGATTGGAAGTAATAAAATATAGAAAAGAATTGGATCTTGTCTGAATAAGCATTGGTGGTGGGTGATTAGTAATGAAGATAAAGTGATATACCACTACTTAGACAAGAACATTAGACGGTTTTTTTTAAATTAGAAATTGAATTTCGTTTTATTTCTTTAGTATCATTTGGTTTAAAATATTCTTCTTACTGGTACATCATCATTCTTATCACAAATATGAAATGGTTCGAGAAATGTGGAATGAAAGAAAATAAATGTCGTATAAATCTTAGTTGATTCATAAAACATTTTAAATTTTAAATTTTACAGTTTCTTTCAGAGAACTATTTATCGGTTTTGACAATATTTAGGGATTATCTATTTGGTAATCGGTTTACATCATGCTCAAGCGCAACCCTTAGAAGCACTACAAAAGTGAGAGAACTTGAATTCTGTTTTTTCATGATTTGTTGGAGTTTCTGAGAGCGTGATCGCAGTGCTCAAGGTACAACTGCTTGAGGTAGATAACACACGACCTTTTTGTGAGTAATTTTCGTGTTAGCTCCGTACTTATTGGAACCTTACCGCCAAAGACAGAAAACCGTGGGATAAGACGAGATGTGAATATATAGAGTTGACGTTTTCTAACCACACCCCTCCTTGTGGGAATGCAGCATCGCTGTTATTCTGGTTGTCTTATGGAAACTCATTACTGCCGTCACACCTCTGTACAGTTAGCAGTACGGCTTCTCCTTCAGAACTTTGGTTTGCTGCTTTTACTCTTACCGTTCTTTAATCGACCTGTCTGGAATGATAGGACCTTGAGGAATAATTGTTCCAGCCAGTGTAGTTCGATAAGTTTTTCACGATGGGAAACCCGACCTCCACGTCAAGGTAGCAGCAACGGCCGGGAACCATGAAACTAACTTTCACTGATTCATAAAAGTTTGAAATGTAGTACAACGTTGTAAATATACGGAAACAAATTATCCCTTTATTTATTGGAGTGTTGTTATGTTCTCCTTAAAGACTCTCTCAATCTCTTTATTCTAATCAACCAAATTTAATGTTCATTGTTTCAGTCATCGTAGCATTTGTCGTAAGGCAATTCTTGATAAATAATTGGTTTCAGCAAACTAATTTTGTGAGTATGAGACAAAACGTTTTAATGCTAATGGACGATGGTTGTGCGGTATTGCTAATCGTCTGAAATAAAAACCATAAACCACTCAATACCAGCTCAGTTATCTGGTAGTTAAGCATTCATCATGAGGTATGAATATCCTAGTTTTCATTCTTTCTATGTTTTTGGATATGAAATGCAAAAGTATCTGATACTTTTGTAAAATACTTGTTCAATGCTTTCTGGTTTCCAGTGGTTGATCAACCGAAGTCCAGCAGTAATGTGAACCTCGAAATGTTATTTCCGTTTCACGAAAATCTGTTGTGTAATTCAGTTTTGTTGGGTTTTATAATACTTTATATTTGTTTGCTTCTTTTACAACTTAAAACTGTAATGTATTATTGTACAACATAGGTTTGATCCTAATCCATCTATATTTAATCATTCATATTGATTCATCTTATGATTATTACAAGAACACAACTGTTGTTAGGGGTTGTTGTCAAAACGACAAGCATATTTTGTAGTATAAAATTGTTTTCGTTTGAAAATGTAGGCTTTTACTTGCATACAAATAGATTAAAGTACCCTCTTGTGAAACTCATTTTAAATTAGGAGTTTTATCAAGTAACCGAAAGCTGGTACTGAATACAACATTAATTTGCTATAGAAATAATTAGTTGTAAATACATGATTATATTCTTCGTTTGCAAAATGTACATCTTAATAATGGGTTCTGACTTTCAAGTATCTTTCAAATCTATCTAAAAAAAATCTGATTTTCCTATACATAAACAAACTATCATATGATAATGCGTTTCCACCAAAATTGCATTAGATGAGATATATTTCAAGTAATTTCGAAGATAATACTTCGATATTAAAATAGAGGATTCATGACTGTTGATCACCAATAGTTTATACTATCTTAATGTTAAAATATCTGAAGAAAATATAAAAAACTATGTATTTGTGTTTAAAATGTTTCGGATGAATAACTATTTAGGGCAAATTCACTTCGTATTGTTACTTGAATCTTCCCATTGATGTTTAGGACTGCAATTGATCAGTTTCTTATTGGTATATGTGCATGCTGAGCGTATTGCCTCGATATTGCCTTAAATCACAATCTTGATAAGCAAAAATGGATAGTGGCTGGTAGTGGAATCGAAGACGCGCGTTTCGTAAACTCGATATATCTGTATCGCAAAGTTGATGTTCACTTCAGGACTCAAACCCAGTACCATTCTCTTCGAACTCAATCACGTTATCTACTTATCTACTGAGTGCTCATAACGACTTATTGTGAATAACCATTTTATTTAAAATATTTTATTAATTATCACCGGTTTGACTGATCACTATAAAATAGTGATACATTTGTAATATCTCATTGATTAAAAATTGGAACTTCTAACGTTTTATTAATTTAAGTCACTTTATTATAAAGTAATTAAAAAAAACAGGAAATTAAATGAACAGAAGTTCAAATAGTATAGGATAACAAGTAGAAACTCTATAACACACTTTCTAAGTGATCAGTATTATGTTCACAGTTTTATTTACGATGTCATTAAAATATGAAGTACACAATATTCGAATATTCATCTAAAATGGGATAAAGCACGTGTCTTGACTATTATTACTCGAGATTATGAAATGAGGAAAAAAACAAATAAATTAACCAATCACCTTTCAAAGTATAAACGATTTATATAAAATAACTAGTTTTCATTGGTTAAAATGTTTTCCTCGGGAAGAATATTATATGAACTTTAATTCAACTGATGAATAATTGACACTGAATATTAAAACAAAAGAAAAAAAATCCAACTCGTTTGTGAAGAAGAAATTTTGGTTGAATTTAGGAAATGTATTTCAGCAATTTGTGCAAACTAACCTTCTAACTTTTACACATTTGAATGTGACTGAAAATTATGAAATATAAATTGAAATAACAATTGAACACAGTCATTATTTGTCGATTTATTTAAATGGTGATTTTCAGTAAAAATACTCTTGAACGTTTTATAACTATACATATAACAAACACAAAATCTTATCTGAAAATTTATATAGTATAGAAAAAAAACATTGATATTTAAACGAAAACTACTTAGTTATGGAAGCGTCGCCTCCTTATTATCTTCTCTTTATTATCTTGTTAATAATTACTTTATATATTGAGCAAACAAAAGAAGATATTAAAGTTCATACTGCTGTACAAATTAAACGTCCTTCAAATCGTCATTGGATTGAACGTGCTTCATCTGCTCGTCAAATTACAACACCATCTATAATAACAACTACAATCACTTCTAATAGATTTATTTATTCAGGAAATGTATCATCAATTAATATGAGTTCTGAAATCATAAAGAATTCTGTTCGACGAAAAGAATTACAAGATCAACCACAACTACAAAATATTTATTCTCAAACATATCTTGATTATCAAGGAAATAGAAAACGTCCAATCAATGAATATAATCAACCTAATATTTTATATCCACACGAAGGACTGAACGCATTTCATAATTTACCTTCGTGGTACAGTTTACGATATAGACGATACCCACGGGAAGAGCCAAACCATCCTTATGATGATAACAACTTGCAATTACCATGGAATTATAAACCAAAATGTAGATCATGCGGTCGACCATTATTACAAGATTCATTTTGTATAGATGATTTCGGTAAGCTTTTACATTGTATCATAATTTGTTTTCTATGAAAGATATGTTGTGCATATTGTTTATTAAAAACAATATCATGTTGAGCAATATAATTCTGTTTGTCTCATCGACGTAAAAATGTTAATTATTCTGCAACCGAAACTTTCCCAATTTATAGTGTGTCAAAAACGTTTTTAGACTAGTCTATACTGCACTGTTTAATGTAAATTAGCACATTGAAACAAATATAATGCAACAATTAACTTGCATTTGTTAAAAAATAAAGTTCTATTTATCTTATGTTTAAAGGAATTTCGACTGATCAACAGCATTTAGCCCATCATTGAATTAAAATTTCTTTCTTCGTTTTCCCAATAAAATTAATACTTCACCCTGTTAACTTCTTGTTATATACTTGGTGAAACCATAGCTGGTGTTATACAACGGGACTTGGCTGAACACTGTTCATTATTTTTTGAAATAACTTGATGCTATGATGAGAGCGGAAACCAAGTATCACCTTTAGTTTCAGCAAATACTAAACAGAAGCTTCGGTTCATTTCATTGCTCATGAGTCTAATTACTGATGCAAGGTTTTTGATTCCTTACACAACTGCTAGTTTCGAAGATAGAAACTGAAAACGATTCGCTTACTTATGCTTAGACACATACGTTTCACAACCTGCTTCATAGTTAAAATAAGTGAAAACTTTTTTATGATTTAGTTAGCAATAAATACTGAACAATTTGGTGGAGTTTTGTTCTCTGAGCTGGATGGTTTAGTCGTGGAGTTTCATCTTTCTTCTAAACGATATCATCAGCACAAGCTCCAGGTAGAAAAATGCTCTATAAATGAATACTTGATGTTTGTTTAAATGAGTAGCTAACATTGTACGTAAACCCAATTATAAATAGTTCTTCAATTGTTTATAAATATCTCTATTAGTTAAATAAACCATGAACACGGAGGTCTTATTGATTACTTAATAACATATCTATGGAACCGTTAATAACTATGTATTATATAGTGACTAGCTAACTTTTACAACACCATGAAAATCAAATTATTCTCCCTTTCATTATATTAAATGAGTTGGTCAGTTGTTATCAGTTTAGGCATTGTAATTTAGAGCAAGAATACGCCATCAAGTACTTGTTTATCAACATTTAATCAGCCGCCTACATTTCAGTAGTTTACTAGTTGATCATTTCATCATAACACAACCAAATAAATGATCCTGATGAAAACTGAAAATTATCTTCAATAAGTTTCAGGAAATCACTTTTGTTCAACTTAAAGAAATATAAGGGATGTAATTATGAATGTCTATTTGAATGCAATTATAATATTCACCGATATACTAATAAAAAATACTGATAAAATAATAACAGTCTAAGAGACAGAAAATCAATAAATGATGATAATAATCACAACTGTATGTTAATTACCGTTGGCTTAAAAAACCTAAAAAAAATCGATCTAACTGTTCTACATATTGTTGGTATCATTAAGCATTTCAGTTAACTAATATTAGTAGACCGAAGTAAGCAAAAAAAGATATATAGTCTAATAAAGCCTTTTCAATAGATATGATACAATATATGTTGACGTTGAAAAGCAATATTCCAACGGGCACAGGCTACTGTAATACTCTAAATTATTTTCATTAATTGACAAAAAAATGAATTCAAATAAAAAGATTTTTGAACAATTTTACCGTTTACGACGTTTTACACAGTAGTCCACAAGGTGAATCTCCATTATAATTGTATAAGGGGACATTTTTTGATGAACCGATATTTTATTGGCATACTTCGCTGACAGAATTTAGCTACACAACAACAGAAAATCTAGAAGCATTGGACAGCCAAATGCTGAGTTTAAATTTATTTAAACGCTAGGCGCTTGTCATAGTGTTTGAATTTCTTGAGCATGATCCATGTCCAAGTACTGTAGGTGAACTAATTTAAAACCATATTCTGTGGTAAGGCTACTATCCAGTTCTCTCTGGTATCTAATAGTTTTCTCTGTTCATAGCCAGATCGTAATATTACCTATAAATTCAACAATCTATACAAAAAGGTACAAATCGTGTTTTGTGAGAATACTTTCATCGAAGTAATACCACCGTATAGAGAATCCACGTATCAGATGATAATTGACATAATGATAATATTTATCCTAGATGAAGTATTTGGAACATAAACACCTAAGAAATACTGTCTTAAAAATAGATCTCATTACGTAATTGTCCCACATATATAAAATATCTGAAGTTATTAATAATATAAATGAACTTGTGCATGGCTTAAATGTTAGTGTTTTGTTTTTATATCTCAGTCATTACAACTATCTTTTTTCGTAGTTACCATCAAATTAATTTTACTCAGATCTTTACGGTTATAGTAACATGTATTATTATAACAAAATCGTTCACGTTACCAAGGTCAGTGCATCATAATATCGTAAAAAATAGTTCTTTACATAGGTTTCTAGAGGTAAAAGCTTCACTCTGACATAATGGATTACAGTGATTTTATGAAAATGAGCATATTAGTTTTAGCTTCTTCGTTTTCCCAACACAATTAATACTTCACCCTGTTAACTTCTTGGTATATACTTGGTGAAACCATAGCTGGTGTTATACAACGTTACCTGGCTTATTTTCGATTCAGAACAATAGTTTCAGTAGAATCATTTTAAAAGCTTGATAACCCAAATAAAGTACAGTCTAAGAACATATACGTCCGCACAGAAAACAAAGTAGAAATATATAGAACAATGTATGAAATCCAGTTACTTTATCATAGTATGAATAATCTTTCGATGCCTAAAGTTTACATTACATTAGTGTTGAGTAATACAAGGACTGCTAATATTTGATAACACTATCCACATATTTGGATTCACTTCTGAATGACTAAATTATTAACGACACAAATAGAATTACTTTCACCAATGAATCAATGTCAGGTATGACGCTGACCTCTTCCAGCTTTTTATTATAATAACGACTGAATCGTTGGAAGAATATCAGTTGGTAACATTTTAAATGGAATACTAATTAATTAAGTAGATGAATTACTTAAACGTTTTACCAGATCGTCAACAAAAAAGTTGGGCTATGATTAGCTATGAAATCATAGGCTAAAAAATTTAATCATCTGTAGCATATAATCGGCTGGGGCAGAATGCACTTACGTTAATGGTGACTGCTCAATAACTGTCAATTTCATCAACAACCAGAAAAACACAAACACATACACATAAAATCATCTGCATCATTATTGACAGTAATGAAAACTAGTTCATCGAATGAAGATTTAACGTAATATTTGAGATTCAAAACTGTTGCTTCCATTTGAATGGAATGTTTGTCTCAATAGGTCAGTTCATAGCTAAATTTCCTGAAGGAGTGACATCAAGTAAAGATCTATGGAAAACCATTGAATGCTATACACGTATTTTATCTTACTATAAGCCACATCAGTAGTTCACACTCAAAATTTAACCCAAAAACATTAGATCGCAAAACAAACATAAAATATTCAAAGAATTAAGTTGATATACTTGAGCAGTTTTGTAAATTTCATTTGAAATATTTCTATAATAGTCGTTTACTTACCACTGGACATGAGATGATTTTTAGAATTTTCAATTAGAAGTCACATAAAAATCTGGATGTCAATTATTCTGCATTAGCAATAATTGATAAATGTGTTGTGCTAAATATTAGCAGCTAACATTGGAAATGTAAATCACGGAAAAATGAATCAGCAACCGGAATGCGTCGTCTTATTGATGAGACATAAAGAATCTATTATTTAACGAATATGCTTTATCAAAAGTATCAAAATAGGAAGACAGTTCTTTGAAGTTGTTTTAATATTAATAGCTGATCATCTGATTTAATCTTGTCATGAAAGTTGATTTTAACTTATTAATTAGTGTTATCGTGCTTATTTGTATCCATGTAACAATTTCTAAGAAACAAAACAATTAAAATAGTCGATACTTTAATTCATATCCCTAGATACTACCGTAATATTTTAAATGTATAATTTATCATTATTTTTAATTTTATAATGGTGTAACACAATATTAATACATACATCGCTATTCAGTAGTGTATTTATATACAAATGAAAATTAATCACTTCCATTAATTAGTAAATTGTACATGTAACTGTAATTTCTTTATTATGTAAAAAATGTTGACAAATATTAAAACGTTTACTTAAAATGGTAGTTTACGTGAACGACTGATGTTGTCGTACAATATCGGTGTTTTGTTTTTATGATAAACGTAACAAAGATGAAACATTTAGGCAAATTATTTAGCCAATTGACATACGAATATTTTTTCTTTGTAACATATAACTATTGATGTTTATTGATAATGATCTTATTAAACTCAAATATCTTTACCTACTCTGACTTCATTATAGTAATGTATAGCATAGAATTAAATAAAACTTCAAAACATCTTGTACTTTCTTGTTTAACCAACTGAGTTAATGGGTCATTTGCATTTCTGTCAACAAATGAAGTATCTCTGGAAAGAAATCTCTTCACTTGATTGATTCTATCACCAAATAGATATTTCATGTGTAAAGATGCGGTTCTTTATAATTTGTTTATTAAACTACTCATTGTAATGAACTGAAAATAGATTGAAATAAATAAATGATAATATTTTAAAAGGAATTTCAATTGAGACCCATTAAAGAAATTCACTTTTTGGAGTTAATGTTCCCTACAGACTAACATTACTTAGTGAATAAGTAAACATTAAACTGTTGCTACTTAGAATAACATACCAATCAATTTATACGAGATTTAATACAAAATTTATGACATACTAATTGTAATGAGATAAGGGAAAACAATCTATTTTTTAATACAAAATTATAATGTGTGCTCATAAAATATGAAAACCATACATCATTTGCACATCGTCCATCAGTTATCTCATACAACCTTCACAGTTCCTTTATTACTGTTACTAGCTTGATTGTTT